TCTGCTTGGACACAGCCCCGTGYCACATGCTGTAGGKGACCCTGCGTGTCCTTGAAGTCCCTTCCAACCTTAAGGATATTCTCTGAGTCTGTAATCCACAAACCCTGCATCTCAAACTGCACCTCTGCCCACTGATCTCAAAACACCCTCCTGAAAAGCACAGACTAACCGAAGAAGTTTGAGCAAAGGAAGTGAGCGATGTCCGAAACTCCAACAAGGGCAGCCCGTGACTCCGGAAGGAAAGGAAAAAAAGGAGAATGAAGAAGGTCTGGAAAATCACGGCATTGTTCCCTGGGTATAACACACCCTAGATCACAGGGCAAATGCCCCACACGGGCCCTGGGGACCCAGAGCTCCCCGCTTTCGTTGCCACCCGGCCGGCGGCGGGGATCTGCAGCCCCTGCTGCAGAGGGGCTGCTTTGTGCACGAACATTTGCCAGTGCAAAATGCCCAGCATCTCCCAGGGAATCCGGCCAGGCACCAGGAAATTCTTCACGTCTCTCCCCCTTGCTGCTATTCTGCAGCAGAAASCCTGGACGTCAGGAACAGGCCTTCTATGTTCACCACCAGCACTCTGCTCTTGCATCGCTTTCTGTTCCTTCTCCTGCCACACAGAATTTTCCCTTCCCACCTTCAGCGTATGAAGCTGTTTGTATATTTAGCCTCGCTTTTCACTAACCCTGTTTCTTCATACATAGGATCTGGACTGTCTCAGGAGGCCAGCGATTCCCTTGGCAGCACTGCTTGAAGTCTGCGCAAGTCTCCCTGCAACTAGCACTGATGAAAGCAGAAGAGGAATCTGGAGGAAAAGCACAGGAAGAGCGAGCAGGAGGCGGCGACCACAGAGGAGGAGTCTGCATTAATTAGACACAGCTTTAGCAAGCTGCACCATATGTGAAGGGTGCCAGGGCTCGAGAGAGGGGCGATTTATAGGGAGTGACGTACCCAGGCTCAACTATGACTAAGGTTAAGAAGCCACCTGAGCCAAAGAGGTGGGAATGGGGAAGTTTTCAGCAGATATCCATGGTGTGCTCTCCCAGAGCAGCCAGCAGAGACTGCAGGACAGGATCCCGGCTGGAAAGCCCCCGGAGAGAGCTCCGTGCTGCCTAAAACCGAAGGTTTGAAAGGCACTACGTGGTGGGTCTTGTCTCTTGCTTCCAGCAGCTGAGCCGCACTGTTCTGCTTTATGCAGCTCCCTGGTCTTCAACATGGTTCATTCAACACGGAAACCTTCCGTGCTGGGGCCATCATCGCTCATAGACCCACTGGCTGGGGAAGTAAATAAATCCTGTTTTTCTGGCTTGGCTCCGCGCTCTGCTCCAGCTCAGCGTGCGGCAGGGCTGGGGGGCCCCTTCCAGCGCCCCGATCCCCCTTCCTGCAGAGCCACAAGGTCCCCCAACCATCGGCTCTGGGAAGGGCAACAAAATTAAAGGCTGCTAAAAAATGTGACCCTAACACAATGCTAAATACCCCAGAAATGGCGATTTGCTGCAGTCTGAGCAGCGGCAGATGGGATGCATGCAGCGCTGGCGTTCAGAGGCGCTTGCAGAGCTTGCAGCAGGACCTTGGCGCTGCAGGGAACTGCCCTGCCCCGTGCCCTGGCAGCTCCTGCACACCTGGGCAGTGTCTGCACTCCGTCTGGGGCAGCTGAACAGAAGCGGCAAACCCTCAGATGCTCTTGCAGCACATTATCCACACGCCAGTGCAAAATGGTCATTTCATGTTACGGTAAAGCAGCTTTTAATGCATCCGCTTGGMTTTGGACACATGCCATCAAAAATACCCCAAATCTGATTCACTTCAAGCATTTATCACTCTATGCTCAGACTCTCACAGCAGGCAGCTGTTAAGCCACAGCAAAGCGGTTTCATCGGTTGGACAGGCCAGCCCAGCGCTGCCTTTTTCYTGCCCAGTTTTGCTCTTCCTGGGGAAGCCTTGGCTGCGATGCCCGCAGCACGAGGGGGACCTCAGTGAGGACCTCGTGGCCACCAGCAACGGGCACACCAGCCAGCCGGCCCTTTTCCAGCCCCCCCTGCCTCCTGCACCCACCAAGTCCATTGAGAGAAGCTTTAACGCTGCCAGGAGGGTGTCTCAGTACAGAGCACCTCATGGTTGATCCATGTTCTTGAGCATGAAAATCATGCACGAAATTCATATTGTCGTCTTCAGCAGCTGGAGACCTAAATATATCCAGAAATATTCCCTGCCTTCTCCTCGTACTTTTCCAGTTGGGTCCAGCTGCATAAAGCCAAGTTTTGTTAGTCCCTCCTACTCACACTTGACGTTCCAGTATTTTAGACTTATTCTGTGTGCACTAAAGTTGAGTTCTTCTTTTATGCCTAGTCCTGGTAGTTAAACCGTGACACCCAAGCAAGTTATAAGATGAGCACGTCCACCTCCTATTTCATCTACAGCAAGGGCGGCCTAAAGCAAAGCGGCCTCATAGCACAGTTCGTGCCAGTAGGCAGAGCAAAGAGGAGAGCAGCGCTGAGCAGGCACTGCTAGGACCTGCCCTCRGGTGGGAAAAGAGCAAAACACAGAAATCTGAAATAGAGAAACACAGAAACACAGAATCTGTGTGTTTCYACCACAGCTACCTGCTTTCACGTACCTGCAGAGCGACCTTAGAAGGACACTGCTAGCTAGTTTGCCACCACAGGGCACATCCCACCAGGTCCCACGGATCTGCCTTATATCCTATTGCTAAGCGGTCCCTAAATGGATTTTCTTCTGCTACAGCCAACGTTTCCCCCTCCAGACTCAGGGAACGGTGCTTCCCATTCCCTTGCCAAGGAAGTCCCAGCAAAAGGGATGTGGAAGGCAACAAGGAGGAATTCAAGAAGGAATTTTCCAGGCACTTCAGAGGACCGGCCACCTTGCCGTGTTCCTGCTTCACCACGTGGAAGAACAAGACGTCGGAACACTGCAACCTTGCCACAACACTCCAGATCCGAGCTCCTGGCAAGCACTGACCTCCCAGGACAACCGGTATCAGCAGACAGGGGCTTCTGTCCCTGCAGAAGGGCATTTACAGTCCCTCTCACCAGCTGCTTCAGCTTGGTTACCATTATGAGATATGAGATGCCATAGAACTGATCAGGAAAATGACTTCCAAAATATTTACTGGCTTCAATTCTTGAGAAATTAACAGGAAAATCGGGAGGGTTTCTGAGTGAGCAGCGTGCAAACAGGAGTCGTTCAGCACGGAAGTTCACCTCCTGGGCGAGAAAGCAAGCGACCTGCTTTCAATGGATCTCCTCCACGTGCCTGCAGCCACCTGCCAGGGCAGGAGGGGTCCCGGCTCCTCAAGGAAACATTCCTCATTTGGAAACAGGTCAAATTCTCCACAAAAATCCATCGGACTTCAGCAAACATCTCTACAAGGAATGGGATCCCCACGTTGGGTTGTTCTTCAGAAGATTCTCCAAGAGAAGCTTAAGGAGAAACTTATTCCCTCACCGAACTCGTAAAGTGACTTTGTATGAGGTCTAATGTTAAATTCATTAATACTTGATGAGTTATTCACACATATCCTTGGGAGAAGCCATTTGGAAAGGAGAGCAGTAGGTAACACCACTGGTCAGAACCACATCTCCACTACTGAAGATCATGACTCTCAATGCACTAAAACCTACAACAATATGGTCTTTATGCTAAAGTCGAAAATACCATTCCTAGAGAAAAAGTCAGTATCAGACTGAGCAAAATTTCCATTTTCGTATCTATACCGAAACCAACGCTTTCGAGTTTTCGACTTTTGTGTTTCGGTTAACTTTTTTTAATGCTGGTTGGCCGTTTTGTTCTAAGAATACTCTTCCCTCCTATCTCAGTTCTTAAACTACACGTCATCCAGTGACTTCAGTGATTTTGTAACTTATTATATCCAAGTTTTTAAATAAAACATATGAATAAGCCTCTGCCCCAACATTAAGATCTCATTAGAAGGAACACGTTTTATGAATTMAAGTTTGAAACAATTCAATGTTTGACACGGCCTTGGTGGCCATGAAGGCCACTGATCTCCTGGGGTGCGTTGCAAAGACCCTCTTTTTAGTCATGCCCAGTCACAGGACAAGAGCAGGAGCAAGCTGAAGCACAGGAAGGTCTGTCTGAACATGAARAACTTCATGGGAGGGTGACAGGGCACCGGGACAGGCTGCCCGGAGAGGCTGTGGAGTCCTTGGAGATCTTCCAAACTGTCTGGACATGATGTTGGGCCATCTGCTCCAGGTGGCCTTGCCTGAGCAGGGGCTTGGACTAGATGGTCTTCAAACGAAAGCAACGTGGGAGGTTGAGCTAATGCTCTACTGCTGCTGCCGAGTGGCAAAGTCAAGCAGTCGCCTCGTGTGTTTCTGGGGTTAGTTATGTGAGTTTTGTCAAACTCAAGATGCAGYTGATGGATTATGGAGATCCTCTGGAGATCTTCCAAACCCGCGTGGACACAATCCTGTGYCGCGTGCTCTAGGTGACCCTGTGTGTGCAGGGGGTTGGACTAGATGATCTCTAGAGCTCCCTTCAAACCTTAAGGATTCTRTGATTCTACGAAATGTCCCTTCCAACACAAAGTGCTCTGAGATCCAGCAGCCAGTTCCCTAAACTTTCCACCTYAGACATTCCAGCTCATTCCCTGCTAATGCCACATCCAAAGCCCACCAAAAGAGGCCGGAATTACGCTGGAATTACACCGTCACAGCCTTGTGGGGAAAGAAGAGCAATCCAGAAACATAATGGGAATAAAGAGAGCCCAGTGTTCTCCCATCCGCAGCCCCGTGTGTGCCAAGGCGCCCGACACGGAGTCCTGATCCCTGTGCCCCCCGTGTCAGCGAAGCATCGTCCGTGTCATGGGCACTAGACCATGGGCACAGGAGATAAAAGCAGCTTTTTAGCCCCTGATAACAGCCTYGCTGTAGAAGGAAGGCAATGCATTTAATGGACAACGGCCTCAAAGCCCTCCCCAGACACGGACCGTGTCAGGACCATCGCCCCCGAGGTGGGCTTACCTTTCCTTTTCCAGCGGCTCTTCCTGCCGTCCTTGTTGCCGCAGGCGTCGCTGCTGCTGCTGCTGCTGTTCTCCGAGCTCTGCGAGTCGGACTGCGCGTCGCTGCTCTCCTCCGAGCCGTCYGAGAGCTCCTTCAGTCCGTCGGGAACATCCTTCTGCAGGGAGAGCAGCACAGACCTGGTGAGTCCCTCCATGCAAACCACTTGAAAGCGGCAGCTCTTTCCCAACACACGAGCTGCTCAGGCCCTGYACTCCTAAAACCCCCTATTACCTTCTGCTAGTCTGTATAAAATACRTGAAATTTCAGCTGCCTCAGCCTCCTCCTTCGCTCATCACCTTCCTCCTACGCCCGCTGCCTTCTCCACTCCGACTTGCCGACCCCGTGTGTGGCTGCTTTGGGGCAAATCTGGGCCGTTTGGGGAGCTCAGGATGGAAGTGCATTTTGGCAGCTCCCGGCTATATTCCAGACCTGGTCCCAGAGCTCCGTGCGCCCGGACCATGTTCCCATCTCCAGGTTTCGGCAGCGCCGCCGTCCTGGGCCCGCACTGCCCTCTAGTGAGGCCCAAGCCTTGGCTGGCCTCCCAAACCAGGGCTATGACCCATCTCCACACGCAAGACTCTACAAACTCCTTAGGAAGACACCAAAGCGTTACCCAGATTTGCTTTATTCCAGCCGTTCTCCACCAGCAAGGCCCTGTATGGTTTAGAGACTGGACTGTAACTTCATCCTGTGCTTTGGAACTAAACTCTTCTAACTGCTCCTAACAAACTAAGTCACGATGAAGGGTGGCAGTAAAAGCAGGACAAAACGCTTTATATGCTTTTAACATCATGTGTCACTAAGGGGATGAAGATATTAAGTGATTAAGTCCTGTATTTCTACTGGTGACACTCCCTTAATTAAAGCTCCTTTACAGCTTCATCTTTGGAAGGATCGCTTTGGTCATGGGGGACATGTCGAAGACACATCACCTCCTTCAGACTCTTTTATCCAAGATGCTTCTTTGAGTCTTCTGCTCCTCTGGCTCGGGTGCCATTGCTCACTGCCAGGCAGTGTGGAGCACACGAGGAGCTACAAAACCTGGGCTTCGACTTCATGTTTGTGATGGAGAGCAAGTCAAGATGGGCCAAACACTTCCCAGCAGTGCCCAGTGACGGGACAAGGGGCAACGGGCACAAACTGAGAGCCCAGGAGTTCACAAGGAACCACTTCTCCATAGGGAAGGCAGCCGAGCTGGGCAGCAGGTTGGCCAGAGACATTGTGGAGTCTCTGTCCTTGGAGATATCCCAAAGCCACCCGGACACAGGCCTGGGGACCACAGTGAGGTGACYCTGCTTGACCAGGGGGTTGGATAGGACAAGCTCCAGAGGAGCTTTCCAACCACAGCTACTCTGTGAGCCTTCTTCCCATACTTAAAATTTACTCACTCCTTCCAGCAACCACACCAAGAGCCAAATGAAAGAAGGTCTTGTAGCTTCCAGGCCTACAAACACATCTGGTAAAAGGCTGAGATYGTTGTTTTTAGCATCTGTGGTAAAAAGACAATGGAACTAGTGGTAAAAAGACAACGGCAGGCTTCTCCAAAAGGAAAGTTAAAAATAGTCCTGCACACTGGAATCTTCCAAGCGTTCCATYTACCAGCGAAGAGCAAAAGCCACTGCAAGGAGTGGAAGAAATAAAGGAAAAATGTATACAGGCAGAACTGGGATCTTCCGAATAAGGACAGACGCAGTTTCACACTCAACACTAGCACTGACGTTGGGACCAAGAGGCACGAAGATGACGGGCACGAGCATGTCTGGAAACCATCAGGCATGGAAATGCCTGAGGGGTCTCCATGCAGGCCARTAAACCACAATGCTGGACCTCCAAGGAACGTGTCTTGCAGCAAGGCCAGTGCTCGCTGCTCTTCCTCAGGTCAACACCAACCTAGCACTGCCACCTCCACCACACGGGCAGCAATGAGGGATAAACTAAGGGGCTCAGGAGGGAGAAAACTCCAAGGCAAATGCACACAACATGGGTTGTCCCTCTGTCCGCACAGATTTTGTTCGGATTTTTCTCTTTTACTGCTGATTTATTTCCCAGGTCTTTTTCTTTCTCAGCTTCCCGCCAGAATGACTCCTCTTCCTCAGCATCAGAGGATGCTCTCAGCCTAAATCCCCCCTCATCTTTCAAGCTCAGCTTCCCTGTYCCTATTCTCATCCCTCCTGCTCCTCTTACCTGCCCACTTGTCTTGGTCTGGCCTGGACCTGCCAAGACCACCCAACAGCTCCACTCCACTTTACTGGAGAGTATTTCATTATTACACACCAAACATCTCCCACGATCACTACCCTTTTCTTAACACCACCTTTCCTACGTTCTCTCTAAGAAATGCGTCTATTTTAGGCACAGAAGCTCAGCTTTTCTTTAACCAAGTCACATTTAGTCTTTGCATTTATCTATTCACCCTTAGGCTGCCAGTTGCTCTCAAGATGTGGATTCTTCCAGGCCCAATGGAATTTTGTACACGCTGCGATAACCTGAAACAAAATCAGACCCCAAGGCTCGTGGAGCTTTGGCAAAACACAAAAAACACCACGTGAGACACGGCTAGAAATTCACCACTTCTGTTGCATACATGTAAAGGGCACAGTGATTTCCTTTACCCGTCAGTGCTTTAGAATCCTTGGGAAGAATTCTCCCAGGGGACCAGGCAGACCCTTCGGTTGCATGAAAAGTGACCAACATACCCTCGTTAGGGCAAACGTGACTTCCTGCTGGATTTATGGCAGCACCGTCAGCAAGCTGGGCTTGTTCCTTGTCCCTTCTGCAGTTGAGCAAGCCTGCAAGGGCTGCTTTTTAAATAAAAAACATGTTCCTCTTTGCTTTCCCCCTCTCCAAGGACAGCAGAGGAAGACTGGCCCCACCAGTGAGGCACTGACACTGGCATTTTGTGACCCAGGTTGTCCTTGGCATCATGAATATGCCTCAGGTCGCACGTTCCCTCCTTCACCCACCTGCTTGCACCCAAATACCCCTCGCTACCTTGCAAAACAGAAACCTTCTCATCAACACTAAGCTTGGGCACAGGAGATGATGGGACCCTTGACAGCAACGCTGGAGACAAAGTGACAAAAGAGAAGAACAAAACCCCTCCATTCATGAAAGGTAACTTGGAAATTTATTTCAATTCTTGGCTCCATTAAGAACTCTCTTCTGGAGCATCCCCCAGCCACGAGCACCAAGTACCTCCAGAAACACTTAATCCTTGCAGCATTATGGCACAGAACTGGCAGCGGCCTTGGTGACGTTGTTCTCTTCTCATCTCCTCTCCTCTCCCTTTATCCCCAAGTCTGAGGAAAAATCAAAGACGACCCTGGCACTCTACTGCTCTCTTTCCTCTTCAGTTCAACAATAAATCCAGCTCAAAAAAATGCAAATCCAACTTTTACTCACCCAATAATTTATTATAAGCTTCCTCTTTTAGCAATTTATTTATTTTTAGGAAGTAAGGTTTACTGGACAGTGCATTGCAGTGCACACAAGGCAGTTGGGTATTCCCTGAGGAATGGCCCTCTGTGCTGTTCAAAGCTTTCCAATTGCTACACAGGCCACCAGGCTCCATTAACRACGCAGCCTCCGTAGCATTTCCCATTAAACATCTCATCTTTACATTTTCCAGGCTGCWCTGGACCCTGAGCAGGGGCTCAGCAGGACAAGGGGACCTGGGGATGCTGAAACTGGGCTCAGCAAGTCCCTCTTTTGGGGAGGAAAGCAAGCAAACTGAACTACTACAGTAACTCCGAGAGGTTTTTGTTGCTCAGAACCTGCTTCCAGCTCAGCTTTGCTTAGGCTTAGCACCCAGRTACTGGGTCTATCCAGGCGTTATCCCACCAACAAGGAGCGCGCAATCTCTCAAAAGGAATTTTTTTCTCATCTGGAGTTATTTTGTTCTTTCCGGAATATTTTCAGCCCAGTTTTGCCACATCATCACACTGACCCTTCCAAGACAATGGCTCTTCTACTTGCCCATCGCAAGCTCCAAATCCTTTCCTGAGTCATAACCCTCTGACAAAACACTCGTCCCCCAGTGTGGATGTGCAGTCTGCATTCTTGATTCCCGCAGTATAAAACTTTATGCTTTTCTGCAATGAAACAAATTGTGTAAGAAGGAATCAACTTCTTAGCAAGGCAAACCRTGCTGATAACTGCAATCTCCTCACTGATGGTTCCATCCCTATATATCTTTCTAATAAAACATGCATTGAAGATGCTGGTTTATCTACTTTGATTTAGATGCGCTGCAATCAGTCCCCACTGTTTTTGTGTCTCCTGGTGGGATTTTGGGAAGCGCTAGAGATGTTTTACTGCGGTGGCACGTGAGCTCCTTTGGTGTCACGTTATACACAAGCACTTAAGCTTGTGTATTAATTACACTTATTATTACTTATTACACAATTATTACTTAATAATGTGCTTCCCCACTTCCAGGGCTAGAGGGGAACAGTGAGAATGCAATGCAACTTAATTAACCTTTGCTAATGACCATGAGGACAGCTCTGAGCTGACTCTCCTGAGAAACAACGCAGCAGCATGAGCACTTCTTCCCTAAAGCACAGTTTTTGAGACATTTTAAACATTTCGGGATGAAATGACTCTCTTAAAAATCCTTCTTTTTCTCTATTGAGCATGCAATGAGCTGAGGAAAATGGTTTCAAAAGAGACACCGATGCCAGAGACATCTCTAGTTCATAAGAGGAATCTTATCTTAAAGGAAGAGTTTTCAGATTTAAATTTACAGAAAAATCAAAAACACTACAGGCARGGTGAATTCCAGGAGTTTAAACAAAAAGATCTACAAAAAAAATTAAAAGATTTTGAAAGATTTTTAAGAAAAAGATCTAATTAAGTTAAAAAAAAACAATCAGCAACAATAAAAACACACTTTTTCTCTACAAATGTTCTCCAATTGAAAGATGAGATGGTTTGGGTCTAACATTAATCGAATATGGGAAATGCTCACTTCTGGATATGAGTTTGATATCTGTGGAGATACAGTCACCCTTTTAAGAAGAAAAGTGCATTTTGGTTTTAACTACTGCTTTATTTCTGGGACAAAGATATTAACTGATGGAACTGTGAACACAAGGACCCACCTGGGGGCAGTTGCAGCCCCCGGGGCTCCCTGCACTTGCAGGCCAAGCTTACATTGCAATCCACGCTACTAAGCCCTGCTCTTCAGGACTGCCCCGACAGGGTATTTTGCACCCTGGCTAAAAGCCCCTGGTGCTTTCAAAGGAGATGTTGCGGCTGAGACACTTACCTTGAGCGTGTACACTCCCATCCGCCCCGGGACCTTATAGAAAATGCCCTCTTCCCCTCGGGAGTTTGTATGCAACATAGCATTCAGGCATGCAAGAGGAGAGGTCCCACTGAAAACAAGAACACAGGATTAATTCCTAAGCGTGCTGCAGGAACACTTCCAGAGCCCTCTGCTCGCTCCACGTGAGGCTTTCGCTGGGAATTCCCGGCCATGGAGCACATGGAGGTGGGGAGACCCCAAGCTGRGCTCCCCAAGATGAGCCAGGCTGCAGCAAGCCCAGCCTAACGTGCCAGGCCCCCAAAGCAGCCCCCAAAGCCCAGCCAACGCTCCAGGGCTCTGCAAAGCGCCAGGATGGTCCCGTGTTTTTAAAGCTGGGATTTCCAAAGCTGATGCTGTGAGCGGAGCTGCACTCTCTGGGGAAAGAAAGCGAAGCAACAGGATCACTGCAGGACAGGGAACGGGCAAGGACTATGAAACACTGCCAACTTGCTGAGAACAACTTGATCCCAGTCCAGCCTTAAGCCCTGAAGATCCACCTTTTTACCCATGTTGGTATTTTCTCCCCAAATGCTTCTGCAAAGGAAGCAAAAACCGTGCAGCCAGGTGCGTGCTGGAGGTCTTCACTGCAGATCCCCCGGTCACACACGTGCACGTTTGCTTGCAGYGCCTCTGGGTGCCCCGCACGGCCCCATGCAGGAGCAGGGACACAGAGGCCCTTCCACCGTACAGGCTGCAAAGATGCACCGGGTAGATGGACAAGCCCAAAGCAGGAGATGGAGCAGGAGCTCTCCGGAGCTCTCTGCAGCACCTTTTGCTCCAAAAACCTGTATTAAGAGTGGTGGAAAAAGCCTTGGGCGTTTGCAAGTGAATGGGTCAAGCCCCCTGCCAGGTGTGCAGACCCCGCGTGCTGCAAGCAATTAGCTGAACTAGTCCTTCAGCTAATTAGTGAATTAGTGATCAAGCTAATTTTGGTTGCTAACACTAGCTAATAACTAATTTTGCTGAGCAGAAGGAGCCGCCAGCGGCTCCCGGTGCCCATGGCCCTGCAGGGCTGGACCAGGTGATCTCCAAAGGGCCCTTCCAACCCCAACCACCCAGTGCTGCTGGGACCCCCGTGCCGGCGGCTGGAGGCTCCACCAGACCATCTCCAGCGCTCCCTTCACCTGCAGTTACTCTACGATTCTGCTCAAGGGGCAGAAATCAGCCCCGCAGCATCAAAACCACGGAGCTTCCCCCCCTTCCCTCCCATATCAGCGTCCCAGCGTGGACTCTGCATGCCCAAACACCGCTAATTGCAATTAGCTTTAGGAGAAGCCCAAATGCACGTGACACAGCGTAGGGAACACATGTCCAAACCAGGGCACAAGGGCAGCCGTGTGCCCCAGGTCTATTAATTAGAAACAGCCCCGTTCTCTCCTGCAGCACCGCGTGTTGATAAGTACTAATGAAAAYAGCAAAGGGAGAGATTTGTTTTATTCAAATCCAAACTTCTTCTCGCAACCTATAAACCCATCTCTCTGCCATCACTGTTGAGCACCATTCCTTCAACTGTAGCGTCCACAGAACTATCAGAATTACTTTTTCCAGACCACTAAAGATATACGGAGTGGCACTAAACCTACCGCAGCTACTGTATGCAGCCCATACTGGATGGGCTCCAACATTCAGCAAAGATCTCAGAYGCTGAGAACAAACCTAACACGCCTGTGACCTTCAAAACCTTATGGGGTTTTGCAATCTTACCAAAATATCAAATAAAATGGGGGCATTTCACAAAGCATCCAAGCAAAGCTACACAGCTATCTGCATCAAACTTGAGGCTGCACTAAGAAGTGAAACCTTGGCTGGATTTATCCTAGCTAAAGGTGTCTGGACTGGCGTTTATAGCGTTCCTACTTGGTTCAACCATTTAATGACTTCTCCGTGATTTTTGCCATGTTTTTTCTCATGCTGACGTGTGACATATGACAATTTAGATATTGCTAACATTTAGATATGACCCTTCCCACTTATCCTTCAGAAAAGAGGGCTCAATTTGGGTGCAAAACGCCTGTTTTTCCTGCCCTGGGACACGCTGCATGCCCAGWCCCTCCACCGGCAGGAGATGACACCTCCTCTCCGTGCAGCGATCTCATCTCGGTCTTGGCCTTTGCTGCCCACCATCCCCTAACATTTTCCCAATCTTTGCCCTTTTTTTGCATCTTTTCCCAGCAGTTTTCCCCGTATTTTTCACGGCTAACGAAGCAGCACCCCAGGCCTCGCTGGAACACTTTTATGGAGCAGTTTTGGGTCTTGCTTTGCTCCTCACCGCCAACAAGGGACCAGGGCAGCCCCGCGAGCAGCTTCCTGCTCCCTTYCACCTCCGTGACAGTGACATTTATATATATATTCATATATACATATTTTAAGTAAATATATTCAAATGTTTGGGCAGTTCCTGCTGTAAGAAAGTGCTTTTCTGGCCACAAAAGAATTTGTGTCCCCAAAAGAGGATCAATTCCTGTAGAAGAAGGACTTCAAGGCATCCCTGCTTCCAGTGAGCTCCAGTGTCTAATGCTCCTGGCATGYGATTTTTCAGCAGACGCCCTTTTAGGTGCCCATGTCCTTTGGCTACACATCTGCTTTTATAAAAGTGGAAAATGTTCCAACATTTTCATTGCTGTATCCAGAAATGGAGCTGCAATTCCAGCTCGCATAGGACAGTGGTGGCCCAGAAAGCAAAGGGCGCTGGCCAAGGGGACGCTCACCCTTCCCACCATGTATTTATGGCATCCAGAGCCAATTCACTGGCCAAAATCCGCCCTTAGCTTCATCAAAAGCCACAGAATTGCTGCAAAATGCACAGCCAGGTACCAAACCCCCAGCACAAGCTGTTTTCCTTTACGGCTGCTGTTTAAACGAGGGGTGCAATGCAGGGACCCCCAAATATGCAGGCAGCAGCTAGCRCAGGGAAGAGGCTGCTGCCCCCCCMGCACTGCCTTTGAGGAGCTGTTCCCTTCACACTGACCATCCCATTAAAAACAAAGAAATTAACAGATTTACCAGAATTTATAAGCCTGCTTCATGGCAGCTTCTGCATGAACTATATTTCATACATTGTTGGCCAAGAAAGTCAAAGGGTTGGSTAGCTTCGAACTACTTGTTAAAATAGTCTACTTATTAAGCTATTCTGTAAACTACTTATTAAAATATTGTGAATTGTGGCTTCTGTTTCATCAAGGAAGCCCAAAATTAACCCCCAAAGCGATCCCCTAGTGGAAACAGCAGCTACTCTGCTTGTCAAAGCAGCACATTCCCCTTCCCTTCTTCCTTTCCCCTTCCCCTTCCCTTC